TTTGTATTTGTTGATAAAATTTTCTCCAATACCATGCTGTGTGACGCCGAGTATAGCGAGTTACCTAAAATACGAGGGGTTATCAAAAAGGTCGTGGACTAGCGTCATAAAATTAAAACCGCTTTAGGCACATCAATGAATTTAAAAATATCTAGTTAGCATCATCTTTTCTATCTTAAGAATAAACCATAAATTATAAATTTTATTTTGAATAAATTAGTAATGTTTTTGTAAGCAATGGTATGTCCAGGCGGCGCAACCTCGAGCACGACGTTTTAGCGACCTATGTGTAACTGACAAAAACTCTTTTGATATGACCATTTGACATCCAATAATCCCGTTAATTCAGGTATGTATCGGGACACAATTGTTCCATACAATATGAAATTTTTTAACTTCATTCTGAAAGTTTATAAAATTTTATCGTAAATATACGGAACTTCCAAACAAATGAGACCTTGAAATTGACGTCAAAAGGGGAAAGGGGTTTCCGTTTCCAACATTCTATAAAGTTTTGCCCCTGAAAAAAACTGGTATATACCTAATATATGTTGAAACTGGCTACAGAGAAATAATATGCATCCAGAGTACTTGTCTTTTAATGTCAAAATAGATTCAGAGAGAAAAGAGATATACACAGTTAATGTCAACTTGCAGTCAAAGTGTAAAAAATCAATCACGTAAAAAATGCCGTTAATCAAGTGTTGTAGATATTGAATTCCAAAAAGCAAAATATGCCGGCACAATAAAGCGAGGATCTCTCCCAATGTATTAATCTATTTGTAATATTATATTCATTGAAGGCCACTGCTCATGACATCATAAAGTAATACTAGAGGTACTGTGAGCGATGAGCTCACTAAATGATACCCCCCCCCCTTCCGCCTCCATATAGTTATAATTGCATGTTTTCCATGTTTTGCTGTGCCTTGGAAACCCAAAATATGTGTCGGATCAAAAAGTAAAATAAGAGGTGTACAATGGAAATATGTAATAAAGATTCTGTGAAAGTTTCATCAAATTTCATTCAGTGGTATGAGAGGAGTTGCGGATAAGAGATGGGTACCCCAAAGCGTAACAGACGGACGGAATTAACGATTACTATATACCCTCCCGCTTTTCAAGCGGGGGGTATAATAAACAAGGTGGGTTGAAGTCCTTACTCCGCTCCAGAGAATCTCATCATAAATGTGTATGAGGTAGAAAAAGCGGACATTGAAAAAACAATGACGTTATCGGACGTCATGAGAACAAATTAAACGACGATAGCGCCGGGTGAACATTTAATGTCGTTTTCATTTTATAATAATTTGGCAAATAATGAACGTATCAGGCTAAAATTTTCAACAATTCTTTATTTTTTGTTGTTTTATTTTCCACACAAATTTTTAAAGCACAGACTACATAGTATTAATTTTATAGCATCAGTCCACGAACTTTTTGATAACCCCTCGTAATGGCAAAAGAAATGATTTACACATAGTTCATGCTTCACATCATAAAGACAAAAAGAGTATAGTTTCTCGTGTCACATGAGAAAATAAACTCTTTTTTCTCTCTAGTCTATGAAGAATAGGGGGATAACGAATAATTTTCAATATTAGTCTGGTCCGAGTTATAGAAAAAAAATACTTCTAATGGCAAATAATTATTATTGGTCCAGCATAGATTTTTGAGTATGATGAATCCGAAAAATATGCTGGCCTTCATGAAAATGGCGTAAAATAGGTCAAAATGGCAAAAGAGCACTAATATTATCACTTTAATTCGGAAAATATATTTAAAAGTTTATCCACATAAAAAAGTAATTAATTCATTAATCTTTAATTGAACATTTATACATCATTTCATTTATTTAAAAAACAAAACAAAATTTTATATATTTATTTTGTGCAAAACGACTAAGAAATAATCAGAGTGAATATCTTACGAAATTCGAGTGTTCGTCATTTGCAATCGCCATTTTGAGCTAATTAACACATTTCAAATTGAAACGACCAAATTTTCCGATTTAAAGTGATACTATTACTGCTCTGTTGTCATTTTCATAGTTGTACAACTCTCAGTTAGATATTCACAAATCCTATCTCCTATTTTAACATTAAGAAATGATTTGAAAAAAATATATACAGTGTATATCCGCTATTTTTAATCGCCATTTTGACAAATAATTATTAGCTGCACCATCATTCATTTATAGAATAGTGCGATGCAGAGGAAAAAATATAAATGTACAGTGTATGTATATTTGCAAATGTAAAATCCTGAACAAAGCATAATATACATGTAGAAACAATAGACAAATAAATCAGAGAAAATTCGAATTAAATGTATAAACGACTAAATTTTCTAAGTTTAAGTAATAATGTTAGCATTCTATTATCATTTTTTATAGTTGCATTACACTCAGTGAGATATTCACACATTATTTTCTTTTTTGAACGACATTAAGAGAAAATTCAAATAATTGGATGTCGGCCATTTTGAATCGCCATTTTGACCTATTTAACGCCATTTTCAAGAAGGAAAGCATAATTTTCGGAATACTCGAAATACATGTAGGTAAAAAATTATGCTGGACCAAATAATAATTATTTGCCGTTAGAAGTTGTTTCTTACCTTCATTTTAAAAATCAGGACAAGGCTATATCAAAATCATAAAAAAATACAAATTAGGAGCAAATACGGACCTCCAAAACAACAGAGCTTGGATCAGATGCCATGTAGGAGTGATTATCTCTTGATGACCAGTCACACCCACAGTTTCTTCTTGTCAAGATCTATCTTATTACAAATACGTCCGTATTTCTTGTCATATGATGAAAATAACAATGAACCGTATTGTTTCCATTTTGTGCAGAACCATGAGCAGGTCCAACATTCATTGTTGATCGAGTTACCATGCATTTAGTCGTTAATTGTAAGTTTTTATTGATAATTGTAATTTTAATAAAAACCGATAGGCATCCAATGGCACACTAGTCTAATCATGAAGCTTGGGCTTGGAGTGTTTCAGTTGAGTTGGTAGCAGCACAAACATGATTATGCATGGTAAAAAAAAATATTACACTTAATTATGAAGAAAAGGCTAATTGGTTTATCTTTAACTTTCTATAGAAATGCCAAAAATAATCATTTAATGATATAGTTAGAGCCAAAGTTCTTCCGTAAATCCGTTGCTTTTTCCATCTTATGTCTAGCGTTCAAGCTTTGCATGAGAATAGTCACTACCTCATTGGAAGTCTATATAATGTCAAAGATTTATTTTCTTCCGATTCCTCAATAAAATTGATTAGAAATTTGTAATGTTTCATCGACTTGTGTGTCTATAGATTGCCTCTTTTTAGAAATTGTGGGAGTTTTGAGCATGCTCTAGCATACTTGCATCTAATTAACTTGAAGGTATAAACAGACATGCATGTGATAAGGGTAATTTGTTGAATTATTAAGTGACGTTGATCATATGAAAGAAAAACTGAACTCCAACAAGCAAATGATATGCTGACATAATCAAGTGAGCATCCTTCTCTATAATGTATAGACCCATTTACAAAATTCTGTATTTGAATTGACTGTCCATGAAATTGTAGAATCATGCAAACAAGATGGATGTCAGTCTATATAACTCCAGGGAATCACATCAAGTGAGGTGATTAAGGTAGTCTGACATGGCATTGAGAAATAATGACGCGTTCGGACATCATGAAAATCAATTGCGACAGCGCCGCGTAATCATATTTTTTTTTATTAATAGTTACTGATAAATAAGTAACTTATCAATTTCTTTAGTTTAAATTTTTAATACTTCTTAAACTTTTGTTGTTTTATATTCCTGATAAATTTTGTGAGCAATAAAACAATACATTTATAAATGTTATCGCAGTAGTCTAACTTTTCGATGACCCCTTGTATGCATCAACCGAATGACATTCAACTATACGGTTTTCTGAAGATTTTGTTTTTGGAATTTCAAAACACTGAAATAAACAAGAAGGAAAACGAAGTGAAAAAAAAGGTGTACATGTATAAGGAAAATATGTTAGAGGTTAAAAGAATCGCGTATAAAAATTTCAATAAATTTCCACGATAAAGAATTCTTACTGCCTAATGGTCCTTTGTAATGAGTATATGTCAGAATTTGAGGCCCTCAACCGATGCACAGTGAAGTGTTTATATTAGAGAACAATATCGATATAGGAAGTAAAACAATATACAAATATTGACAGCTTTAGAAGTACAAAAAGTCAAATCAATTTTACCGCAGATCAGTAAATTTGAAACTGACCACAATATTCTCTGTAAAATTTAACTTTTAAAATCCTTGATAAAACTCACTTGTCAGAAGTGACATGCCTTCAAACTGAAGAGGAAATAATGCGATAATTTTAATATGCATAAGATATATCTTATCTTTCCTTTTTATATGTAAAGCTGTTCTCTTAAATACTTGAGCATAATTAGAGTTACATATTGATTCATCGAATTGTAGTAAAATGTCACGTGTATACCAAATGGTTTCCTTTTTGTCTAGTTTCATTTACACAATACAAACATTACCATCGTCAACTATTTGTTAATAAATTCCTTGTCATTTTGCACCGTCATTAACTGTGACTTCATGCACGGATCCAGGAGAGGGGCAGGGGAATTTGCTGTTATTAAAATCATGTACAGTGTACTAAACCAGAAAGTTAAATGTATGAAATTCATACATGTAGGTATAAAGCATTAGAAGTTAACCCCCCCCGTCCAAGTCCACAAAAAAGAAGTTATTTAGAGAATTTTTTGCACACGTATACGTTATAGATATCGATATTCACTGCCAACTTATAAAACGTCGGAAGATAACAAAGAAAGCGCTAACGTTTGACTTTGATTTGAACTGTATGTTTGCTTCAGCACTGCATTTGTGATTGAAGTATGGTCATGAGGGTAGATAACAAAGATCACTTCTGTCCAACATTAACAAACATTACTTCTGCATGTTGAACACGTTTTCCAAAATTACAAAGAATCGTTCTGAACTAGTGAATAACTAAATGGGCCTCGGAGCATAAGGGTTACCGTCAGGTCGTCGCGGAGAAAGGTTGCATGCATATTGCTCTTGGTTTTTATCTCGATGTGGAGATGGTCTATAGTTCTGTCAATAACTGCTACTTTGTATGGGTTTTGAAATATTTCGCTATAATCCATTCTATCCACGTTTAAGACCATGTTACGAAGCAGTGGTTTTTCCTCATCTCCTACTCTGGACATTTCACAAGCATCGCAATAAATGTAGATTTCTTTATCGACACACGGCACATTTATGTACGCTTTGCATAAATTGCAGTCAGCTCCAATGTGCAAGAAGACATTACATGGAATTTTCTTGGAAGTTTAACCGTAAAATCATACGGCTGATTTTCTGGATACCATTTCTTGCTTTCGGTAGATCTAAGAACAATCAGGAAGGGCATCCTTAAAGACACTGTGAAATGAAATACATGCAATTGATATTTAAATACTGTGTGCATGTAACCGAGAACAAATCTTTAGCAAACAGTTTTTAACATTGACATATACTCTATCACGTCTATTAAAGACGTTAAAAATCTTCTTCTTTTTACTTTTGCCTTCTTGAAAGAACTTAAACTTAACAGAAGTGCTTTACATTTTTAAAAATAAACAATGTATGTGATTTTGAATAACTTGGACATCAGTCCCAGATCAGGATCTGAAAACGGGAGAGTTCCCACAAACACATGAAAGCACTAGCATTGTGCAAACTAGGTCTCATTGTACTGTACCTTTGATTTGATGGGACCGTAAAACCTCGAGAACATTCCTGGTTTTCTTTAGTGAAACTACAGACATTACACAACGATCAGATAAGCAGGGAGTTTCTCTAAATAAATAGCTTTATTGCTTTATTTCCTTAACACTCAATTCCTTTTTAAAAAGAAAAAAAATTAAATTAAAATTAAATCAAAATCAATATATGTATACCAACCTTTATAATCTGTTAGTCATTCACTGTCATTCACTGCTTAGTGTATGATATGATGTTCTTTGCTAATGTTCGAAGAAAAAAAATATTAAACGTTTTATTTCCTGTCATGCTTCTGTAGATAAGCGTTTATCTACATATGAACATGCCTTAACACACTTTTACGGAATAACAGTCTATTTTTTTGCTTTAATATAATGTGATCAATCATGTGGCTTGCGTGATAATTTGCATACACACCGAAGGCTTTTATGCATAAAATTATCACGTACGCTAATCGATTGATCATTGTCATGAAGTAAAAAATGTGACATTTATTCTTTGTACCGTAAGCCGCGCTCCTGTCTTTATTTTTCCCGCTCGAAACCTAGTTTTTTTTTAACCACAACTATCGATGAACCTGTAAATTTATGAAGAAATAAAGTACATTTAATATATGTAATTCTATCTCAGACAAAGACTTGAAATAAAAACATTTAATTAAAGAATAATATAGAACGTTGTACAAACATGATTCATCAATTGAATGTGAAGTCTATGAGGAATAAACTCAGGACTTTATATAAGTTCTCATTAAATAATTATTTTTTGTTTACATAATGTCTGTGACCTTGAAATAGCCTTTAAGCTTATCATTAGCAAATATATAGCAAATATATGTTTTACATACGTACATATGTGTACAAGTTATTTTCCCAAAGTGAAGTATAGAAACAATATATATTATTCTGGAAAGTCAACAAGGATGTTATTATAATTATACGAGATTAGATAAAAAGCATTTGAATTAGACTAGGGCTTGCACTGCCCTAACCTAAAAAAAACCCCATAGGTTATCAGCAATGAATCAATAATGTAAGTTTGGTAAGGGTAGAGCTTAAACTTATTTTTCTTAAAGAAAAATTTTAAATTATTCAATACTCCGAAAAATAAAGTTAGTTCCAGTCTGTAGCGGTTTTTTTTTTTTTTGATTGATCGATAACATTTAAATATGGATGACGATTTAAAGCCAGATTAAGCTTTTTGGTATTACTGAAGCAATGGATTTACTCCTAGGGATCACTTGTACTGCGTCAAATCAAGCGTACAGATGTCATATATTCTAGTCAAAATTTCTAAGTCCCCAGGCAAGTTTTTATTTTACACCGCTCTTATATCGAATTATTTAAACAGTATAATCTAATAAGTAACAGGATAAAAAAAAGTATCTAAACATTTTTATCTCACTTAATTTTTTTTTTATTTAGGCGCTTTAACACAATACGCAGAAACGCTAAGGCACCCTAGAATTAAAAATTCACAACGTTGAATACTGCATTATACTCTTTTCAAAGGAATTTATAGCAAGACAACCGTTCCTCAGAGAGTTCACACTATTTAATAAAAATTCTTTTATTGAATTTTTTCCATGTGGAGACTAGATCGTCCTCTAGTTCCGCTAGATCCTGCTGCTGGAAAAGCTGTCTCACTCTACGGTCTATCTTCTTCCATACATGTTAATTAAGGTTAAGATTAGGATGACAAAAAGGCATACCAAAATTATCCCTGCCTTGCCTACAACAGTTACATAATATCTTTTTACATGTATTCCCCACTCATCCAGTTTGACATTGAGGGGGAGGGCACTTCCGGTTCCGGTTCCATTGATTTTTCCGGATAAACTCTATGATGATTTTATGGTGTTTGTTGAAAATCTAGGAATTTCTAATGATTAAAAGTAATTCAGGTATGCTTTGTAGTTTTTCGGGCGGTAATTATAAAGGTTTTAAGTAAAATAAAGTCATACAGTCAAAGAAAACAGAACTCTCCTTAACTGCGACCAGCTTAGGTCATTTCAACATCACTTGAACATTGTTGTGTGGACATACACCGCATTTTAATTAAACTTTTTTGTGTTTTTCGTTATCAATTAAAGATAAAGAACACATGGAAGTAAAAATTCTGAAGAATACATACGAAAAATAAGAGACTCGAACTTCATGCTTTTTTACAAAAACGGTCACGGTCGAGTAATTACACATTCGATTACATTTTTTTTGGCCTTGACAGGTAAGTATTGCAAATTAAAGGCAAATGTGTAAGCAACTAGTAAATTGATGCTAAGGTTTTTGACTTTTTGAAAAAATATAAGTGGGGACTTAAAAATTTTGACACGTATATATGACAAACTTCCTGTGTTTTAATACTTTGATATAAATTGATCGAAAATTATGAGATTTTATATGATAAACAAATAAGTAATGAATAAAACGAAAGTAAGTTGTTTCATATCATTATAAGGTTAAGGCATTTCCACCTTCTTGTGATGTCATAGGCGTTGCAAAAAATGTTATTTATCTACATGTAAATTCATATCTCTTAGAAAAATATCTTTGATGAATGTTTTTCAATAGGTGTAATTCAAATAATTGTTAAGTTATTAAATAATGATAAAAATGCATATATTTTTTATTTAATCAATAAATTCAATTTTAAAAATGTTCCTAGGGACAAAAAATCCTTATATATTCAGGTATTTATTTTTTGTAAATATAATGATAAATGCTGATATTCATAATTTTTGTATTTAAGAATCAGGATTATGTATTTTAATAAGGGTTTACCTAACATTTATAATACTGTCCACAAAAAATGAATATTTTTAATGCTGAAATACCATTCCGTTTAGTACTGTCTAACTTCTAATAGCAACCTTTACATTTTTCTTCTATTATTATTTGCTTTTAACTAATTTTGAAGTGAAAATAAATGCATTTCTTCTACTTTGAACCAATAAAATTCTGAGGATGGAATTACCTTATTTGATTTATGTTGCTTTTTTAAAACTCATCGGATGTTAGAATGATACTCATGAATAGGGCCCTTAAACAATTTCTTTTAAATAGATCTAGCTGAGTAAGTGTTGAACTACTTCCTTGATGATAAAAAATGTGTTAAGTTAATATTTTGGGCAAACTGTGTGGTCGTTTACTTTAAAGGAGATATTAAAGTTTCCTGTTTTGTACTAGTGTTAATAGTTTAAAGAGCTTGACATATCTAAGTTTTATTTTGAGCACCAGCTTATAGATTCACAGATATGAGTTCAAATTGGATTTCAGTCTGTAAGTAAATTATACTTTATAATTTGAATGTTCTATAGATAATTTCTTTAATTTACAATTTCCAGCCATGAAAAGTATCAAAATTAAATCTTAACACAGCGTTGATAATCACATGACAGGCTCTTATAATATGTTTTAAAGTGTTTCATATCAAAGGAATATATATGACAAGAGCCAATTTTCGCCTCCTTAGTATCTACATTTAAGAATGATATTCAGATATGTTTAATTGATATTCATTTCATAGAAGAGATAACATTAGAAATACCTCCAAAATATTTTTTCACATTTATATGCACGCACTGGCTGTAAATGACATGAGAAGTATTGCAATTTTCGCAATCTAACAAAAAAAAGCCAAAAATATGCTTTTTGCTTGATGTTTTTTCTTATTGGAAACATAGAGCGCGGCGTAGAATATACATAATTTTTCTGTCACTAATTAGTATTGGATAGATACATCTTTGGTAAAAATATAAAGTTTGTTCTAGGCTTCGCTCTATATTTTCTGGAAGAGAAACTGTTTGCAAATAAGCAGTTTTATACAATATAAGCTATAATGGCGAGAAAACATGAACTTTATGAGGTCATATTTCTAAAACAATGGCATTTTGATCAAATTGAACATGACCAATAAAGGTCGCATGTACAAATTAAAGCTATATATAAAGTAAAATTAAGATATTCATTTTAAGGGGCAATTTGAGACACTTATCATATACTAGTATTGCTCTTTACATTAACGCAGGTGATTTACAATATTGTTATCCTTATTTTTTAAACATTAACCCTTTCTCTTCCGGCGCATTTTACGTGATTTTGGAGGTCTTTTGACATGACATAATTAAATTATTTCTAACTTTTTTATCCAAGGGGAAAGCTAGGCATAATGCATACCATTTTGTAGGAAATTTCTTACAGATGATTTTTTATGACTGTTTAGATACTCAACCACTGACCTTATTAGTAAAAATTGAGGTCAAAGGTCAATTAAGTGCAAAATTTTTTGGAATTTTTTGATACTTTTTAATATTCAAGCTAAATATCAACTATGATGTATGTTGAAATAGGAAATTTGGGATATACCCACAAAAGAGCATTATACTGTACTACATGAAACACATAAACTTTTTTTTCAATTCTGCATATAATTACTTAAAAGGGGTTGCTAAGCAACGCAGAATTCTTTAATTTTCGGGCAGAAATTTTCATTTTTTACTCATCCTTGACACATTTATGCATCCCAGCAGATATAAAAGTTAGATGTGAGGTCATAAAATTATAAGGGACATACAACAGATAAATTGTCTTAAAGTTTGACCTCATTAGAACTATTTTTAGGAGGTCAAAGGTCAAATAAGTGCAAAAGTTTCATCAATTTTTTTCAACACTTTTCAATATTCTTGCCATAATTTTACACATTGGATGCTGACATGGAAAATTCTGAATATACTCTCAAGAAGGGATCAGAACTGCAATATCCATGCATCATTTTAGTTCAAATATCTGTTTAATGACCTTTAAGTGGATGCTAAGCAACATCATTTTAAAGTTTTTGGCTATATATATGTTTGTTATTTCACATTCTGGACAAATTCTAGACACTTTTTGTATATTTCATGATATTGCTTGTAAGATATGGGCCATAAAGTTGAAAGAACATTTTTGTATTAAAAATTGACCTTGACACTCTTGTTCTTCAGGGGGTCAAGGTCATATCAGTACAGAATTCTGCTTTAAACTGTAAGTAAATATCAATTTTGAAATGCTTCAAACATGGATAAATCATCTAATAGTTGACGTAATAAAAATGGCGAATGACAAAGTTTGCAAGCAAAGAATTCTGGTCTGCTTCTTACAAAGCCCTAGCAAAACATGTATACTATCTTTTTGTTAAACAAGAAATCCATTCTCTTGATGACATTAAAAATAATCTTTATTTTCATGGATTTAATTTAACAAGAAAAAAAAACTAAATGATTTCATTGCAAGATTTTTCTGGTATAACAGAGCTTAAGGGGTACAATAAAGACTTGACATGTTATCTTGGAGGGAAATAATAATAGATAGCATTGGCAATATTTAATGCAAAACTGTTTAGTCAATAAGTTGAAAATTTGACGCTTATATCCAAATATACAAATACAGAAATATTGCAAGATGAATTCCAAATCAGACTGAAATCTTCAACAAAATGTTGAAGAGCACTTTTACTTTGTGTCCACCATTCTTTTATCAACTGTCATTTCTCTGTAAGACCGGAGGAAATTCTTTGACTTGTCCAAGACATTATTATTTGCTGTCAAGTACAAGTGATCAGCTTCTATCCTGTAAAAGATTTAAGTATTTTGAAACAGATACATGTCATTGTATATATAAATTTATATTTATAAATAAAATTAAGAATGCTAAAATTACTACGTTTATTTGATTTTCCTTTTAAAATTAAAATTTTATTCATTATGTGATCCAAGTAGTTAAATGATATTGTTAAGTCAATGTATCAGGACTGATAATTTAACAACTTGTAGTAAACCATCATGGTAAAATTACTGAACTAAAACAAATAGCATATATGGCAATCTGACTAAAGCCTGACCTCTGTTTACGCTATCGCAACATGCAAAAGAATCTGGCATTAGATTGCTACGAAGGCCAGGAAGAGACACGTAAATTTTTCAAAAAAGTAAAAGATGATATCAAATCGAATTAGACAATCTAATCCCAAGGATTACTAAATTGTTCCCTTGATTTATAATATGAGATCTCGAATTACACAATCCGATCTTAAGGATTACTAATTCGCCCCCTTGATTCATAATTTGTGATCTCGAATTACATACTGGTAATTTGTTTTCACAGATTGATAATTCAACATCTTGATTTGTTACAACGTCAGTCTTATGATTTTGGAAATCTGTGCTCTTGAATTTCATTACATATATATGTACAGAAACATCCAACCATTTTAATCAATAAGTGCGTTCTATTTATTTTGTTTCAGCAACCGGTCGTTTCCAACCTTTTTCATAACTAATTCAACGTATATTTATTTTAGAAATATTATGATTACACAGGACCCATATTCACTTTTACTACATGTATCTAGGACTTTCAATTATTCTACAAGTAACACAAAAACTTCTAAGATTTTTTGTTGTACAAATATCAGTACTAGCACATGGATTTGAAAATGTTCATGTATTTTTCTCATTTTGGACCGTAATATGTAAATAATAAAAGTTAGGATGTAAAATACTATAATATTTTATTTTTTAAACATGTACTGGTATTACCATATCCGATATGTACAGATAAATAATTTAAACGAAATCATGGGAAGGGTTTACATTCTGAGGGAATGAATCATTTAAACTAAAAGAATGAATTATACAAACTGAGATAACGGACTGTGTAATTTGAGGGAACGAATTGGTAATCTGAGAGAATGAATTGGCAATTTGTTATAACATATTGTCAATCCGAGAGAACGGATTGTATAAATCAAGAACTCGGTTTACTTTTATAAATTTTAAAAATTCTATGTCCCTTCATGGCTTTCATAGATTTCATACCTGCATGGCTGCCAGGGTTGTAAAAAGAAAGGAGACAATAGACTGCAATGTTACTTCAGGGCAAAATTTCTGGCGCAAGGCTGTTCGTGATCATGGGAGTGTTGATAAACCATCCAGTGAGTTTGACCACCCATGTATATGATGTAGGATAATTGGAAAGTGTCTGAAAAATTGAGAAAATGGAAATTCTTACCACATACTTTATGCAGATTGGAAATACAACAGCAGTCTATAAAAACAGTTTGTTCCATATCTCGGCATTCATTCAGATAGATATTACGTTTAAATCATGTTATATAATACGTCTGTATGAATAATCAAGCATCATAAGTATTATGTGTTTCAAACATTATTTTTCAAAATATAAATCAAATGTTTATAAACTTGTATGAATGCGATATCATGAGAATGACACAAATGAAATTAGATTTTATTTTTTTAAAGTTTAGAAATACAGAAATTTTCAATACCAAAATAAAAATTTACCTGTTCATTGGTGTCCTTACATATTAATTGACCTTCCGCTCGTAGTTCATGGTGGGCTTAGAAAGTGGGTATTCAGATGAAAGTATTGGAACGAGTCTAAAGGCAGCTCCGTGCACACCATGTGACCGTTATTATGACGTCACGTCACACTCAAAGCGAAAGGAACGAGTCTAAAGGCAGCTCCGTGCACACCATGTGACCGTTATTATGACGTCACGTCACACTCAAAGCGAAAGTAAGAATAACAGCTTGTACGCATATTATTCGTGCAGTCGCCTGTTTACGTGAATGTTCAATGCTGCTATATTTTATGCAGTATTCATCGAAGAAAGCTAGAATTACAAAGATATAAACGTGCTTGAAATACAAACCTTTTGTCTAATTGGTTAAAATACCTAGTCTGATTAAGGGGGGAGGGAGGGGGGGGGGGGGGGGGGGTACCGCTTGCGCTTATTAAACACAAAGGATGCATACATACAACAACAACCCCTCACCCCCACCCCATCCTTTTTGTTTGACACTGCAGAGTAAACAGGTAAACCAATAAGTTTTTAGAACCCTATCTACACGGTGCATGTGAAGGTTCCGTAAGTGATGTAATTCTACGTGCACACGCTCCCCATGTAATTCTGTAAATGACGTATGATAAGTATAAATATAGGTCTACCCCTCTACACTATAAAATATCCATATTTTATGGTATAGAGGGGTAGACCTATAGGCCTATATACATGTATACTTATCACACGTCGATCATTTACAGAATTACATGGGGAGCGCAGGTCTATGTCTTCGTGTGGAGATATGATATATATCGCAAAACTTAATGTTATGAAGATTTAAAATGATAATTAAAGAACTTTAAAGCCAAAACAGATTGTAAACTTATAGTAATCTATTGTATTGCAAAAGAGACCCCCACCCCCACCCCCAGTGTTT